TTTTGCTGAGAAAATGAGTGTCATTTCTGTGCAGAAGAACTAGGTAGGATAAGCCTTAAGAATGGCTGGCAAAAGAACTTGGCAGAGAGAAACAGGCTTCCCCCTCAAACCCAGCCAACCAGCTCACCTTTGGTGTAGACCTGTCAAGTGAAAGCCTTACACAAAAATGCCTGTGACCCACTTTGTTTCGTAGCAAACGTGGATGTGACGCTCTCAGATAAAGAATCATATATTGCCTGAGTGCTCAAAGCTACTTACACGAGAGAAGATTGCTTTGTAAGGAAGGATTTGGAGGATCCAACGAGCATAAGAGCATAAGGAACGCCCGGCTGCGTCAAACCAGCGGCCTCTCCAGCCCCTCTGGGTTTCTTGGAGCAGCAGGATGAAGTGCCAGGCAGGAAGAAATCCTTCCCTCTGAGGGTGGAAAGGCCCTGGCACAGGTTGCCCAGAGAAGCTGTGGCTGCCCCATCCCTGGAAGCGTCCAAGGCCAGGCTGGATGAAGCTCTGAGCAACTCGGTCCAGTGGAAGGTGTCCCTGCTTTTTTGGAAGCTTTCTCTGATTTGTACACAGCTCCAAAAGTGTTTTACCCACAATTTAAAAAAAAAAAAAAAAAAATCAAACCATCCAAGCTGCTTTTCACCTGACAAACCTATAGAAGTGAAGGATTAATCTGCCCTGAGTGATTGAGAGAGATAAAAGCTTTGTGTTGAGTTCAGCAGCCCTGCCAAAGGGTTCAGAAAGCCGCTTCCCAAGTGTTAAAATAGTGCCCTCATCTGCATTTGTATTTAGCATCTCTGCAAGTAGCTTATGCACAGTCCCACCCATCACCTTCAGAAGAAGGGTTATGTATCCCTGATGTAAGATTTCTTCTTTCTTTCAGGATGTGGAGACAGGGCTGTGGTTGTATCGTTTCTTTTCATCACCTTCCAATCTCAGCTGAAAAATAGGATCTATATGACCTTGAATGAGGAAAAGATATTTTCTAGATGATTAAAGCAAAGTAGTTCTGTGTAGCTCTCTGCCCTCCCTGCAGTGATTATCAAGGTTTACTTATTTCTTTTCAAAGCAAAAAAGAAAGATTCAGACCATCAAGTACCAGTAATGCACTGGCTTTACCAATTATGCCCATTTTGGAAAGCTCATAGAAAAATTACAAGTTTTCAGTGTGAAAAAGACACACGATAATAACAAGAGGGAGAAGCCTTTGGTCAAGACACTTTCCCACAGTGTGTTCTTCTTAACAGGTGGGGTTGAACATCAGCCCCAAATATTTTTCCCAGCACATTTGCTTTGCCTTTCAGACTTTTTTTTTTTTTTAAGGTGGATGAATGTGTTTAATAACTGAACCACTGGTAATGGAATTATCTCCCGTGTCTCTATAAAAGGAAAGCATATGCTTTTATATAAATTAGTTATAAGCAAATGCCACAGTTGAAGTTATGGGCATTATAAATAATGCCTGTCAGCTGAAATCTTCATCAAGTTGAAAATTTAGGTTAAGTGAACGGAATAACAAGGAACCAGGGAGATTCAAGGTAGAAGTTACCTCCCAGTTTTCATACTGATGGGCACGGTGATGTATTGATCTCTCTGGCTGCAATAGCTGTGAGCAGGGGATTTAAATGCTGCCAGCAGGTAAGGAGTCCATCACTGAGAAAGGTACTGTTTTAGGGGAGCCTGAGCCCAGTCCTGCCTGGGATTAACTGCTGACTTGAAACTACCCAGTGACCATTAACACTGAAGAGGTCATTTAGAAAGACACAGTAGGGAATGAAAGGGCTCCTGTAGGAGATATCCTGGATCACAGAAAATGTCTTTGCTCACTGTCCCACCTTTAATTAATTTAGAAATACGCTTGCCTAACTGAGTATTTGCTAGTTCACTTCTTTTCAATCAGATCCATAAGAACAGAATGGGTTGAATCTGTGAAATTGCAACGGGGATTACAACATTTGAGGCAACAGGAAACCTCAGCAAGGAATTTAGGAGCTCCTTGGTTTTCTTTCCCGTTTTTCTTCCCTGACTCCTCTGCAGGTCAGCCTGCCTGTGGGCCTTGTCTTTGCTCCAGGCATGAAGGAATTGAAAATATAGGACCAGAAGGATGCTTCTGGGCCATATATATGGGCAGGATTCACCTCTCATCTTCCTCTGCTAATCAGATTAAAATTCTACTCCAAGCCAATACAACATTATCAGTTAGAAAACGTCCCTTAATAGCCAGTCCACCCATCTCCATTTTCAGCATGGAGCCATTTGTTCTGCTCCAGTGCTGCCCTTTAATTTCCATTATGCCTGTCCCCAAATGCTGTTAATGCCATTTCTGTGTTCAGAGAGCAGTTGCATCCTCTCTCAGTCTTTGGTTTCAGTCTCTGCTCGGAAGACAGGTTTTCCTTTTCCCTGTCATCCTTGAATGGCTGTTCAGAGCTGTTCAGAGCATGCTGTTCCATCCCCTGGCAGCTGTTCAGATTGGATTTTCTCTTTCTCAAATATGGCAAAGGCAAACTCTACGTATTATTTATAATTACATGTCCACATCTCATTAGAATTATTGTTTGGAGTGGAGGGGGATATCTCACCAGCCCTTCTCTATTTCTGCTTAAAATACAACAATATATTTATATCTACTCTGATAAATTCTGGCACCACAAATCCCATATAACCATCATCTGAATAAGGCAAAGCCAAGTCTATCTCCAAGTAGTTGTTTCCAAGTGATGCTCACACACTCAACTAGAGACAGCCAAAATTCCACAGGGATTTGGTCCAAGAGAGGAGACTCCCTCCCTCTCCACGAGAGAAGAGAAAGTTTGGACTCAGGCACGGGTAGAGTACCCCAAATTCTTGATTCATCAACATTCTTCCTCTTACCTGTGTTCTCCTCTCATTTATAAGGAGTGATAGAAATAAATTGTTTCTGTGGGGAACAGCTGTGTTTCTGTGCCCATTTTGTTTAAAAAGCCACAATCTATATAGTGTTTTTCCATTAGTGAACTAGTAGACCACTGCACTGTGTACATATAGCATATATATCACACTGATGCATTTCCTAACTAATCATTTCTTGAAAACAGACCCAAGTTTCTCTGTACAATTCAGAATGAAATAGCATGGCCCCAAATCCCATTTTTTCCTGACTTTAGCAGCGCATTACTGTATTTCCAGGGGAGATATATATGAGTTACCAAGTCTGATTGTGCAGTAATTGCTGTGCAGGGATTTACAACCTTTGCTATCTCGTTGTTAACAAAGGAACCTGCCAAACATGAGCTTTCCTTTCAGGAAAAACAATTAGCCATGCACAATGAAATCATGGATTATTGCTATTTTGGAACTTTTCCGAACTTTTGGCAGGTTTGCTCTGGAGACTCATATAACCTCTTGCTGCAGGATGGTTGGGACCCCATAAATATCAAGGTCAAGAGCAATCTCTGCTTATAATTGTCCAAAGAAATAAGTTTCTGGCTCCTTTCATGATGTCATTGACATTGAGAAAAATAATTGCTGAGGTTAAAATGTCTCTTGGTGACCTGTCTTGCAGTAAAATTGCTGTAAAATTGCTTACTCACAGTCCCAACCCCCCCAGGGCTGGTGTTTGTGACCTGCCAGCTGCCTGATTGTGACTATTAGTTTGGGAGGCTGGATGGTTTAGGAAGATTAGGATAAATTCCCTGCATTGATCTCCAATTGAGACAAGAAATGGCCCTTTTTCATTTGGAGATGGATCAGTGGAAATCATTTTCGAATACTACTGACTATTCATGAGCTGAAAACAATCGTTAATTCCTTGCAGCAGCAGAGTTTTCTTATTTAAAAGGACCATCATTGGTTCAGAAATGACTCCTAAATTACCATCCCATTTTTCTCCCTGTCCCACAGGGAAAGAGAAAAGCCATAAGTGCCTCACTGGATGTGTAAAAAGCTTTAAAAACTATCTTGGATAGTTCTCACCTGGTGTTGAGCCAAGGGTACACTGTTCAGGAGACCCTTAAACCAGCACAGAAGGGAAAAGCTGAAACAGGACAGAGAGAGCAAAATCATTGAGCAGTCAAGATGACAGGAGGAAAACCAAGGAGCTGCTAAGGAAAAGGGAAGATGTAATTTAAATCTATTGCAGGGGATAAATAAAAACAATTAGAATATTTTAAAAGTTAGCATGAATCCATTTTAGCTACCAGCACTTGCTTCTGGTGGAGTTTTGGGGGTTGGTTTGTTTGGGTTTTTTCTTTATAAATTAACTGTTAAATCACTGCTTGGAGTCAGAATCAAGTAGGTAGAAGAGAAGTAATATCAGTAAATATAAAAAATGCAGGTAACCATGATGACAACAAACTGGACACTCAGTGTCTGGAACAGAGCTCTACAAACTGATGCACAAAGAGGAATCCACCATGAGTTTCTTCAACAAGAACATCCTTGAGCACTAAGAGTAGGAGTAAGTACCTGCCTGTAGTTTGATGGCAGGCTTAGGCCTCCTCTGCTGCAACAGCCTCAGGATTTCTGCAAATTACAGAACAGTCCCCAAACTCAAGAAGCCATTTCCAACCCTGAATAACAGTATATTTTAGCTGGTGTTTAAGAGATGGTTTTTCACAAGCCAAAACCAATTTTAAGCAACGCGAGGTGTGAGAGAAAACAGAATTAAACTGAAGAAAGTGACAATTGAGGACTTAATAAAAATACTTGGAGTAGATGGCCCCAAAACCACAAGCTTGGGCTAAAAGAAAGAAAACTGCAGGTTAGAAAAGCAGCCTGGCTGTGAAGGAAATGAAAGTCACAATAAAGCAAGATAAATATTTCTGTTTTCATTTCCTTGCTCTGTTCAACAGCATTCCCTTCATTCCCAGGCATGGGCTGAGCCATGGAACAGAAGAAGGAAAAGGTGAGAGCAGCGAATACAAATGAAAACTTGCACTTAAAGAAAGAGAAACAAAGGGCATGAAAACATGAATATGGAAGGAGAGCTGAAATACTGAGAGTTTTTAAAAAGTACCTTTGCTTCCTGCGCTGGCCGTGGAGGTTTCGGACCAGCTTGGGAAGCAGGACCAGGAGCATCACTCCCACCTCCCCAAAAGCACTTTTCCAGATGTGAAGTCGTGAGATGCCAAGGGCAGGTTGTACAGCAGAGAGCAAAGGACAGCAGCTGAAAAGTAAAATTGAAAATGACATTTTGAGGAGAGAGAAGTATAGAAAATTTCGGCAAATGCAGCTGTCTGGGAAAAAGGCCCAGGGCCTGTTTTGAGCTTGTTAATGCCAATGGCAGGTTTTTGAGCCTGGCAACGGGTAAAGACACTCCTTTTCTGGGTAAAATATCACAGTGATGCTGTGAGGTGACCTTCAAAGCTGTCCTTTGCAGAAGGAGCTCTGAAGGAACCCTCTGATCTACCCATCTCAAGGACAAGGTCAGCAGGGACACAGCCCACGCAGGGCTTGGCCCAAGCTCCTTGCCTGAGTCAATCACACACAAATTAACTTGGGCTTCTATGTTGTCCTCATCTCCTCTCACAGCCTTTCACCAACCAGGTATTTAAAATAAGTATTTCCTTCCTCCATCACTTGCTAATGTCTGTTGTCAGCCCAAGGTGAGAGAGAAAGAAATTCACCCAGAAGGATCCCAAGGCTGCCCATTCCTTTGGAACCTGATGCTTTATTTCAGCAGCTCTGCTGGGTCCCACTCTTTCAAAGCTTTCCATTTCTTGCCAGCTCAGGGGCTCCAGTTTCAAGGTTTTCTTTACGGTAACTCCTGGCTGTCCCAAGCCAAATGTACATATTTTTCGGCATAGATAAACCCCTTTCTCTCACATCTGAGAATAAGGCAAATATATGGGCATTCAGTATGTCTTACTATTAACAGGGACAGAAACAAGGCGGCCAAGGCAATAAATTCCAGGAGAGAGGCTTCTCCCAGAGGACCAGAAGGAAGTAAATGAATAAAGGTACATATGTGAGGCAAGGTTGAGTCCCAAACAAGACATCTGTGGAAGGGAGGGAGAGAATAAATCTCTCCCTTACTCTCAGAGGAACTGCATTAATCTTGCCTCAATTAGGCTTTTCTTAACTTTTGCTGTCCCTCCATGAGCAAGCAAATAAAAATCCATAGGAAGGGTGGAAAGAGGAGAGCCACAGCTAAGGCAGAATGTTCCCTTTGGATGCCTGGAGAAGAAACACCTTCCATTTTCACTCCAGTGGGGTACAGAGTGTATCTCCTGTTCAATAACAGAAAGGCACAGTCACTTCTCATGGCCATGGTTCACTCCCACACACACAGCAATTCCTGTGGTCTGTGTAAGGCAAATGTTCCTTCCCCGGGGAAGTCTCTTTATAAGGTGCTGACAACCAGTGATCTGCTAATCTGACAATCCCAGAAGGTGTGTTTGTACCCCCACAGCAGAGCAGGCAAGAACACCAAGATGCACCCATATGTGCCTTAGGTGTGTGGGAAGTGGGAATTTGGAGGGGACCTTTGCAGGCTTCCACATGTAACCTCCAGACGTGCCAGTGTTGAGGTGTTTAATCATCTCCTGTGGGCAAACGACACAGAATACAGGAACAGGCACCAAAATTATTCACAGCTTTCTTATCCAAGTGCTGTTTACATTTGTTGAAAGCCCAATCTGCTGCAGTCAGCGAGATCTACCTTCTCTATTTCTGCCAAAAAAAAAAAAAAGAGTATATATCTCTTCATCTGCCCATCCATCCACCCATCATCATCTCCTGTATCACAGCACCACAATTCCCTGTAGCCAGCGTTGGATTAACATAAGGTAGAGGTTCCCCACCCAACTTCTACTCAGAGCTTGAACTCTTGGAGGCTGGGGCCATCCCATATTCCGTGTTTTCTCAGTGCCCAGCACAACAGCAGCCCTCGAGTGACCTCCACATGGTCCTTTTTCCCTGTCCTTTGCTTACATAATGCAGATGATTCATTGATATGAAGTCGCCCGGAACACGGAACATCTGGGTCTGCTTTTTATTTTTTCCCTTGTCCTGTGAAGTTGTCAAGTCAGCCCTGGGATATTTTGTCTGAAGCTGATCCTCAGAAGGTTCATGTAATTAGGATGGGAAATCCTTTCCAATTTCATCTTTTGGGGGATAATCCCATGTTGGTATATGCTATTTCCTGATGGGTGTTTGTGTCAGGAGAACATCTTTCTTCCTAGCTGTGTCCTTCAACTAGTTTTGGAAAAGATAATCCTTGAGTCATTAACACTTTCTGTGGCCCTGTTGAGCTTGGTAGAGTTTTCTTACCCCATACTTCTCAGCCATTTTTTTTCCCTATGCATATTCCCAGGAAAGGCTCCTCCATCTGTTTGGCATTTTAATGCTGGGATGAGGCTCTGTTTATTGGGAGATGTGGCTGTTTCCACATAGGGCATTATCAGTTTTGCCTGTAAAAACATACCAGCTTCGTAAATTTGAGGGCAATGATTTATGGCCCAAATGTTGCTAATTCTCTCATTACTGGTCAAACAAGGACTTTTTTTCAAATGTCAGATAACAGATGGTGAGGAGAAATTTTACCTCCACTTCTTCCCAGACTACCATTTGAGCTAGCAGGGGAAAAGTGAGGAGAGGGGAGAGCTGGACACAGATTTTAAACGTGTTTGGTTTTAATCAGCATTTAAAATCTGACCAGTTCTATAGTTAATTTCAATTTTTTCCCCTATTTTGGTCAAAATTTCATACTTTGAAATCTGATTCAAAATTGACAAACTAGTTAGTACTTTGTAAAGTTCATCTGTTGTTTTTTTTTTTTTAGATGTAGTGATGTAACAACACAATTAGTCAGTTACTCTAGGTTTTAATAACAAAAAAACCCCAAACAAAAAAAAAATTAAACTACATTGTAACAAATGTGTTTGTATTTTTCTTAGCAAGGAGTTACTGTTGCTACAATTGTAGTAAAGTGGAGATAAACAGCTGGAAAAATGCCTATGGGACACACTTCATAGCCCAGAACCTGATGTAAAATCTAGAAACAATATTAAACATTCCATCGTTTAAGAGGCAATTGTTACTTATATTACAACTATCTACAAGGACACAACAGTTTAGTCTTGCTATATTAGATTATTGCATGGCTGGTGATTCTCACCCATTGTGAAATCCTTCTAACACGCTTCACAATTTTCAGTCTTTAACCAAGATCTCTGTTGAGACTCAATTTTAATTGAATGCACATTAAGTAATTGTTAAGTATTGGACATTTATAAATTTTCCTGACCTTGAACCTAATTATGTATTTTACAGGGAGGCAAAGTAATTGATTATGATAATAAAACCATAACCAGTATATAGCTGATTACACACTGGATGACATCTTGACGTATGCATCTTGCTATCACAGAAAAAATTTGCATGTAGACAAAAAGAAGAAGAAAACCCTAAAAAAGCCCAATCTAAGAACTTCACGTTATTGCCATGCCATGAGCCACAAGATTCCAAGAGTACCTGAAATTCCCTGGAGAGCTGAGAACCAAGAGTGACTCGATTATTCCCCTGCCTTTGCCGATGCATTTGCTGAGTTGTTTTGTTGGGAGAACGAGGAAAATGTTTGGTTTACTCTTATATTTAGTTAGTGCTGGAGATTTTGTGCTGTATGTTTTCATTTTATAGCAAAACCTTCTCGTGATTTGGATGCACCCACCTTTTGCCTGTTCCCAATGTACATCCCTCAGGAGCAAGGGAAAAGTTCTGTCTCACTTTTAGCCCAACCACGGCAATATCTTCTGTCTGCTCCTGTTCCAAAACTTCCCGCTCCTGGAATCTAAGTGCCTTCTTTGCTCCCTTGACGGAAGAGATTTAAAATTTGTTTAAGTAACTGAAGTAAGAGCAGCAAATTTGTCATTTGCCTCGGCCAAAGCTGCTCCTAATGCTGTTCCAAGCCCTAGTGCTCCCCCTGCATCCCTCTCCGAGGCTGGCAGATGCTGAGCCTGCGTGTCTGCCCTCCGGGACGGAGCCATAAATGTCTTCCTCAAACCCTCACCCAGCCCCGTTCCCCCCACAGCAAAACTTAATGACTTCTCACAGGAATCCAAAAACAAACGAGGCCCCTCACTAAGAGCCATTCCAGTCGGAGTTTACTTGTCCTTGCTTGACCTCAGCCTCCTCAGCTTTTGCTCTTTAAAACCCGTGTATTCCGTGGGTGGTGCTCATGGCATCTCCCTGACAGGGATGAAAGGCAGCCCTGAACAACCAGTTTATTAGAGAGTAGATCTGTGACCAAAAAGGGAATGATTTCCCATTAAACTGAAGGCATGCAGAAATAGGATTGAAGAAAATGAGCCCAGCTGATGTGAAATGCATGGCCTGAATGGTCTGGGCACCAGTCTTGGTGACAGTGGGGAATGAAGTTTATAGCATTTGGCACAGAGCTGAGGCAGATTCGTGGTGTTAAGTGTTTTGTCAGTGTTTATGGGCTGGGGCAAAGCTTAATATGTGCTAGAAAGCAGAGGGTAAATAAAAAGATATGAGTCAGTTCTGTTGGTTTGGTTTGTTGGTTTTTTCCCCCCCTGAAAACTCACGTTTTAGAGCTGATGCTGTGCTTGGTGAGAACCCAGCTCACGATTTCTGCCTGTCTGGGTTGGCAGGACTCAGTGTTTGTTACCAGCATGGTGTTGCTGTGAACACTTCTACAACAAAAATCACAGAATCATGGAACCACTAAAGCTGGAAAAGACCTCCAGGATCATCATCAAGTGCAACCACGGCCACTGAACCCACTGAACAAATGATATGTTCTGAAGACTGAAATTTTACTTGAGGAAAACATAGGAACATATTTTCTGTTCATTTTGGTGGTGCAGGCCAACATAAAACTCAGGGGGGAAAAAAAAGTTTGTTCTGTGAGGTTGGATACTGCTAATAAATAAAAAATGAAATCAGATTACAAACACCAGATCCTCACGCAACGTAATTCACTTCCCTTCCACTGATTTAAGCAAGTATTAAATTGATTTAAAGGCAGCTCTGTCAACTTCTGTCGCCAAGGGGTTTGGTTCTGAATATCTAAGAACTTGATTTCTTCAAGTCTTTTATATTTATCATTCCCGTGGTGCACAGAGAGGCTGAGCATGTCTCTGCCAGACAACTGAACAAAACCCAGATCCCTCACCACGTGACCTTGGTTTAGATCACTCCATGTAGGGACACATATGGATATAGAAGTATGGGTTTTTTATATATATTAAAAAATATAAATAAATATATGTTCTATATATACATGAAAATAAGCAAAACTACACAGATGACATGGATAACTTATTAAATTATACATATTTATAAAAATATTAACAAAAAAATTACCAATTCCTTATGGCTTGATCCCATGCCTTCTCTTTGCTCCCTCACGTACATTCATTCTCCCTTCACATTGCCTTGTCCCTGAAGGATCAAGATCTGTAACCAGAGAGAGAATAACTTCTGTAAATCTCAAATTACAATAATCCAAGGATTTAAGAAGTAAAATGGTACCATTACAGCAGATAATTGTAACTCTGGAGAAATAGGTCAGAGCTGCAGTTCATCTCGGCGCTGCTACCAACAAATGAGGTCAGGTTTTGCTTTCTTTATGTGCTGTTGCTTTAAAAGAAAAGAGCTTTTTTTTTTTTATTATTCTGTATTGATGGGGAGTGAATTCCCAGGCAGCAACACTAGAAGAGATAAAGAGTAGGAATTAAATCTCTGGTCTGTGTGGCCTTGGGTATCCAGTCCCACCCAACACAGGATTTTCCAAACGTCCTGAAAACATAATAGCATTTTCCAAATACCCTCCGTGTAAAGGATAAACGTGCAGGCTCCTCTCCACCACGGCATGTGCTCCTTCTTAGAGAGAAATTGTCTCTGTAGCACAACTAAAAGAAATGAAAATAAGAACCCCAGCACCTTCTGTAATTGCTTTTGTGGAATGTAGTCATCCAAGGAAGAATTTGGTGCAGCTGGTAAAGGCGGTGTGACTACAAAAAAAATACAGCCTTCCTATAAATTCCCCAGGATCCCTGAGGAAACCTCAGGAAACAGGCTATTGCAATGCAGATTTGCATGGTTCCCTGAGGAATACTGCACTTCCACAAATCCTTCCCTGAAGAGATTTAGCTTTTCAACAGTTTGTGCTCAAGTACAATTAATTTTGATGGCCCCTGCACGATTACAAGTCTAATGTTTAGGTTTGCTATCAATTACCACACCAGACTCTTCCTGGGTCACTATTCCATGAACTACTATGGCTTCACTTATGTTATAGCCATCTCCATCCTCTCTGGAAATAAAAAGCTTGGGGCAAATGGGTCTATCTGAACCAGCTGAAGTGTAAAGGAACAGTAATCACAATAAATAAATAAATAGCCACTCAAGGGTTTTGCTGTCAAGTATTAGAAGTGTGGAAAAAATTAATGGACACCTCCTCTGTTCTACATCCTGAGACACAAGTTGAGTTTTGATTCAAACAACAGATGTTGATGTGAATAATAAGACCTGTGTGCAGGTCTTGTGTGCAAGCATTTGCTAATTAATTTAGTTTGTTAATGGCAAGTATTGGGACAGATGTTATAAAAACCCAATCAGCCTGTGCTAGGAGTGAGCTGTTAGTCCTTTTCTGACTAAAAAAGTTTAGCAGGAACCCCGAGAGTTTGCAGTCAAGGCTTCTTTAAGTTTTCTGCTTCGATATTCATCTATATACATCATCTATGAAATATTTACAGAGGAAACCACTTAAAACAATGAAATATGAATGAGTCCTTTGGTGGAGGCGATGCAATTTCTCTGCCAGGTTTTACCCAGAGCGGTATTTCGGGGGGGGGGAGGTTTATGCAGGGATGGGATCCTCTAATCAATCAGGCCAAGGGGAATCAATAAGACAGTAATTAATTTAGCTCCTTCTCCATATTTTTCAAAGTGACAGATTTATGATGGACCATGAAAAAAACATTAAGCATTATCTTTTTCCCTCTACTGGAGACAGGGTGGGTAGATGAAGATAACGGGGCTGTGGCCGTTCCCTATCTGACACAGGGATCTGCTGGGCACAGAGGGAAGTTCTGACCTAAAGGAAAAGGCACAAGGGAACAAGGAAGAGCTGGGAATAGCAGGAGAGCAGGCTTGGATATGTGACTGCCTGAAGCCATTCTGGAGGAACCACCACCAAATGACAGCTGTCACTAGGAATAACCACGGCATATGGGCACTTCCCAGGAAAAGACAGCGAGATTAAACCATAAAATCACAGAACAACAAGCACACATTGCATTTGGTGGGGTTCTTTGCATTTATCTTTATTTGACCCCATTTATGAGCCATTTGAATTGCTGTACTTAGAAAGAAAAATTACTTTCCCTACAGCTTCAATTTGGTTTTTTCTTTTATTATTTTTCCCCAGATATCCTCCTCTTCCTTTTCTTTCAATGTAAATAATAGAAGGATTCTAACAGCCATACCAGCTGCTGAAACTGAGAAATCAAAGCAATAAAAGAGCATTTAAGCCACCACTTGTATATTCATTCTCCCTCCCTTTCTACAAAGTCAGCAAGTTTCTTACATTCTTGATATTATATAATATCTTTTTATTCTTGACTATAAGTATTTTTCAACATTGTCTCTATTGCCACATGTGAAAACTCCCTTTATCTTTAGGCTTCTACCACTCAGTCACCAATACAATGAAACCCAGAAAGCCTAAGAACCCCTGACAGTTCACATAAACTCAAAAGCTGTTCCACTGAAATTTGATAGAAATTGTTGCAGTCGCAATATTCGGATCACCACAGGAATTAAACAAGGGCTTGACTCGCTTTTTATGGATAAAATGTACAATAACCACTTTCCTACAAGAGTACAAAGACAGTAAACTGTGTGTGTGTGTTACACTTTTCTTTGTTAGTACTAATTTCCCCTCTCCTTGATCAAACCAAAGGAACTACTAAAGCTCGTGAAAAACTACCACAGTTTCAATTTAGACCACTTCAGTTTAGTGAGCACTTTCAATTTAAAACACACACTCCAGCAATTCCTCTCGACCAAATACAAAATACTTTCCTTTGCAGCTGCCCAGAATAATACAGGATTTGAGCTCTCTTAACTCTTGCTCTCCAAACTCCAAGGGGAAAATATTATTGCATGCTGAGAGTCATTACAGCCATTCCAGCCAAGTTATTAAAAAAACCTGTAGTTTCACCAGTCTGTGCTGATACTTTCTGAGCAATAGTGGAGATTTTGGAAGTTTTTGTAGGTAAGTGTTTTCAGCATCTGTGTGACCAGGTTGTACCCACTGCAGAACTTATTGGTGGCTCTGTTTATCCCAAAGGAGTTCCTGTTTGTAGGAGGTAAAATGGTTTTCCAAGCCAGCAGAAAGAGCCTGCTCCCAGGGAGTGCTGAGGGATTGCTGGAGGGAAGTGGAGTGGAATCTTCCAAAGATGGAAAGCTGCACTTTGAGCACGTGCAGATATTAAACAGAAGTCTTGTCACGGTTTAGTAAAGCAGAATCAGAGTTTACAACCTGCTGAGTGCCTCTGCATCTCACCTGCCTGGACATTTCCCTGTGTTTAGACTGGACAGGCCAACTTTCTCCAAGCATTTCACCTCCTAAGGATGAGGAACACATCACCACTCCCAGCTTCCCAGGAAAAACCACTTGATTATATGCAATACATGAAAATGATATAAGAATACACTTACCACACACTGTGGGTGCAAATCCTGGGCAACTTTAGCCTCTTCCAACTCATTCCCTTGGCTATTGCACTCCATAATGCCAAATCCTGCCAGGCTGGGGGGCTTTTGTTGCACTAAGGTGCTGTTTCCACTTTGAACCTGAATTCTCTTTACTCCTACCACTTATATGATTTAAGGTCTTCAGTCCTTACACAATTACTTTCCATTTTCTGTATGGACTATTTATTTTACATCCAAAAAGAAAAACAAGGGAAAAAGGAAAAAAAAAGTAATACCTTAGCAAAAGATGAAAGCATATGTTCCTTCTTTGTGATGCTATATCCACTCTGGGAGCAGAAAAGGTTATCAAGCCTCTTCTATCTTGAATATATTTAGTAAATTAAATCTCTGTCTAATCATTTAACTGATTTTCATACTTCATTGATACTTCACAAGGAAGATAATATAACAACTTGAAAAAATGTGTACTCCTTCTTTTCAGTGTTTTCTCCTACAGCTTGCTATATATTATTTCCAGGATAATGAATACCAGTGCAGAGCTATCTTCTAACTGTCATCTGGTTTTACTTTAGTCATCCTGAAAGACTTGGGAGTTGTTTTTCAATTGTTTTTACACCCAATTCAACTAGTAACTCATAACATGCAGATCAGCTAAGTGAGGAAAAGAAAAGGTCAGGACAATCAGGAAAATTTTTAGAGGAGTATTTAGTGTAATCAAGTATTTGTTAATGCTTTGCCCTTCTACATGATTACTATTTTCTGGTTTAAAGTCGTTTGTTGCAAGAAAAGGATATATCTTATTCGTGAAATACCTCAAGAATGCATTTAGATATTTCCTTAGGTTTAAGATATTTGGGAAAGTTGTCTCAGAAGCTTATTAGTTGACTTTTACTCCCTTTTGACTTACCTGCACTGTTTGACACAAGCCTCTGACGTGGCTGTAATCAAATGCTGTTGGTTAAC